AGAGAGAGAGAGAGAGAGAACAGATAAGTCTCCAATATCACAGCTGGCTTCACGATACTTCGATTGATAGGATGAGCAAAATCGAATGAATCTTTCGCTCGGACATACAACGCACCGGGGTGTGTCTATGTGTGTGTGTGTGTGTGTGTGTGTGTGTGTGTGTGTGTGTGTGTGTTATAGAGAGAGAGAGAGAGAGAGAGATTTTTTTGTTTTTTCCAACCTTTTCTCCATCTGTGCGTGTCATCCTTGCGCAGAGGTCGTGCTAATCTTCTCTGTATCGTCCTCCATCTCTCGTCCTCGTCCTCCGTTCTCGTCGTCGTCGTCGTCGTCGTCCTCCTCCTCCTCCTCCTCCTCCTCCTCCTCCTCCTCTCCCACAGGTGTCGAATCTGTCAAGTTTCTTTTTTTTTTCAACCTTTTCTCCATTTGTGCGTGTCATCCTTGCGCAGAGGTCGTGCTAGTCTTCTCTGTATTGTTCCCAAAGATTGAGAACGACACAGAGAAGATTAGCACGACCTCTGCTCCACCTCCCCTTCCTCGCCGTCCACCTCCTCCTCTTCTCCCACCTAGGTATCGAAATTCCGAAAATAATCCAATCTATCGAGCTTTTTTTTTTTTTTTTTTTTTGGACCTTTTCTCGAATCGTGTGTCATCCTTGCGTCAGTGTCATGCTAATCATCTCTGTGTAGTTCCCATTGCGCCGGATGTCCCGAAGGACCCTGGTTTTGTTGTTCGACCTTTTCTCGATTTGTGTTTGTCATCCTTGCGCAGGGGTCACGCTGATCTAGACGGTCCTTTAGGGTTTGATGCGCAGGGGCCGTTAGGGATTGATGTACAGGGCACTTTAGGGGTTCATGTACGGTCTTTTCCTCCCTCCACCTCTTCTCCTCCTCCATCTCCACTCTCCTTAGTTATCCTCCAGGTCGTACTATAACCCCTCCAGGTAACACCTCTGGGACCCCTCTTTAAAAATAAAAAAAAAATTCCGCACGGGCACCCCCCGTACGGATCTCCGCAAGGATCCGGTCTGTGCAGGTGCCGCTCGTGCGGAGATCGAGCACCCCCCGTACGGATCTCCGCACGGATCCGATCTGTGCGGGTGCGGCTCGTGCGGGTGCAAGTATGCATTTTCTTGATTATATTTTCATCAGCTGGCATTGGGAGGCAACCCATTTTCTTTGTTTTTGTAATTACCTTCTTAATGTGCCTATCCCGTACAAGGCTGGCCACGTTGATGATGGTTGAGCGCCAGCTGCCCACATCCCCGTGTGCCTTTTCGGCCCACTTGCACGTTATGAAAAGAGGCAGAGTAAAAGGGTAATTATATTTTGTCTGTTCTCTCACCGACGCTCATTCATGT